GGAAGTACCTCTCCTGACCCTGTCCACGGACGCGGGCTGGGCCCCACACGTCCATGTGGAGCGTCTGCAAGGGAGCAGTCGTCGGGGGAAACGAGGAGGAGTGAGGAGCGGCGCGCTGCCGCCCCTCGACACAAGGAAGAGAGGGAGGAGCAGGCGAGGGTGGGAGGGGAGGGAGTACCCGGGGAAGACCAGAGACAAGGTACCGTTTGTGCATGGCACGAAGGCGCTGCACTGACGGGTGACCAAGGCGGTGGTGCTAGAGGACAGTCTCGTGCGCGAGAGAGCGACACGAGCAGGGGGCAGACAGCTGACCTGACGCAGACGCAGACGCAGCTACCTGAGGGGACTCAGTGGTCAGTTATACAGGTCCGACCCCGGCTGCCTAGTGAAGGTAGCCAGGTGACGGCCCGTCCGAGCACACGTGCAGTGTGTCACGCGCTCGTAGGCAGGGGTGAACTGGTGGACACCCCCGTCCTGGAGCGCACAACCGGCCACCAAGTTCGTAGAGAACGAGGGGAGGTGGAGACCGGACAGTGTGCCCGACGGAACCGCAGGACAAGGAAGGACAGTGGAGGAGGTCGCAATGACCGGACCCCCAGAGGGGTCAGCAAGGGAGACAGCAACTGGCCGGGCAAGCTGCTCAAGGGCAGTGCGGTCACGAAAGAAATAGCGAGAAGCTCCTGAGTCTAGAGTGAAGGTGTGCAGTGCCTCAGTGGACTCAGTACCAGGGGGCGCAGACTCACTAGCACCTAGAGCAGCAGCCTCACCAGCACCTGGGGCAGCAGACACACAAGCACCTAGAGCAGCAGCCTCACCAGCACCTGGGGCAGCAGACACGCAAGCACCTAGAGCGGCAGCCTCACTGGTCCGAATGCCCGGGTCGGGCGGAACACGCAGGTACTGATCACCCTCTCCACTAGTAGACAACACATACATGGCAGTGAGAATAGCATCAAAGTCAAGAGCATAGATATCAATGTTCTTCTTCATCAGGTCAGCCCAGCGGGGCAGCTCAGTGGCAGTAGGGAACTGAGTGCGCCAAGCGTCGTCAAGGCGGGAGAAGCAGCGCTGCGTGGTGTGCGCCCTCCCACACGTCTGGCCAGTGCGGTCACCAGTGCGGATGACGTACGTACAGCTAAGGCCACCCCCCCCCCCCCCCCCCCCGTGCTGAGAGTACAACTCACGAAGCTCCTGGGACGACGGAGTGTGCTGCTGGCTCTGGCCACCGCCAGCGCCTCCACGACCACCACCACCGCCGCCACCACCTCGACCACCACCGCCTCTGCCGCCTCCGCGTCCACCGCCTCCCCAACCACCGCCCCCACCCCGGCCACCTCCTCCGCTGCTGCCGCCTCCACCCCCACCGCTGCCACTAGCCCCTCCAGTCCCGCCACCACCCCCACCACCGCCACCGCCCCCACCACCACCTCCCCCGCCGTCACCTCCACCTCCCTTGCCCCCTTTGCCCTTGCCGCTGCGGCGCCAGCTCGGAGCGGACGCAGTCCCGTCCTGCTCAGTACCAACTAGGTCGACAGCAGCAGCAGAGGCGACAGAGGGGAGAAGGGGGGAAGGGGAACACCCCTCGAAGAAAGGGGTGCGAGGGTCGCCACGAGAGGCAGCTACAGCGACTATGCTAGTCTCAGCTGCAAGCAGTTCCTTCTCGAGCAGGTCTATGGTGAGCTCAGTGGGGGAGCGAGCGAGGAAGTGGTCCCTGACCGCACGAAGAGAGTCAGGGAGACGGGTGACAAGGTGGTAGAGAGTGAGCCAGAGCGGGGGGGGGGTGGGTGGCAAGAAACTCAGCGGGCATAGCGGCACGGAAGCGAGCCTCACTAGTGCGGAGGTGCGTGGTGAGGTCAGCGACTGTGGCGAAAGCGGACAGGTCTGGGAATAGGTAGGGGAGCGAGAGACGGCCTAGCGCAGCAGAGGCAGGTGAGGAGTAGCGTGCAACTACAGCAGTGTACAGTGCCTGCGCAGTTTTGTGCTGGCCAAAGTGCTCGCGCTCATCTACCGGCAGGGAGTTGCGAATAGCAAAGCGAGCGTGAGCGTCACGAGTCTGCCACTGTGAACGGGCAGTACTGTCAGCAGTAGCAGCAGGGGCAGCAGCATTGCCTAGCGCGTGATCGTACAGTGAGATATCCTCCTTGGCAGTGAGCTGGAGGAATAGGTGCAGGTCATCGAGCCAGGTCTCAAACTTCAGTGGGCGGCCCTCAGCATCGAAAGCTAGTACAGAGGGGCTAGCCATAGTTGAAGTAGCAGCAGTAGCAGTAGCAGGAGTAACAGTAGCAACTGTAGCAGTAGGAGCAGTGGTAGTAGCTGGTGGGGTACAGTAGGGCGGCGCGGCTCGGCCAGGGCGGCGCGGTTCGGTTCGGGCGGCGCGGCTCGGTTCGGGCGGCGCGGCTCGGGTCGGGCGGCTCGGCTCGGTTCGGGCGGCTCGGCCTGGGCTACGTGGCGGAGCGCGACGGGGGGCGTGCGCGTGGGCGGTTGTAGCGGGCGGGCCGTGGCCGTGCGTGGGCCGGACTAGCGCGCTGGCGGCGGCCTAGTGGGGTGTCGCGGCGGCCTAAGGGCGGGCTGCGACTCTCTGGGCGGCGGTCGACGGGCGGCTAGGGGGGGCTGCTCGTGGGCGGCGACGGTCGCGCGGGCTGCTAGGGGTCGGCGCGCGCTCAAAAAACAGTCGCGCGCGGGCTGCTAGCGGGCTACACGCGCCAAGAAAAATGGGCCGCGCGCGGCACTAGCGAGCTGCGCACGGGCAGCAGGAGGAAGAGAGGCGCACGAGGGCGCACTAGGAGAGAGGCGCTCGAGGGCGCTAAGGAGACACGGCGCTCGAGGGCGCTTCTAGCGGAACGGTGGGCCCTATCGGTCCTAGGTTACGACCTAGGCTCGCGATACCATGTTAGAATGTTAGAGAGAACGAGAATGATGAAACTAGCAGAAAGTTGGGTACAAGTAGGAAACCCTAAGTATGTTGTACCCCCTAAGGCTAAACCCACTATAGCCTACACAATGTAAACATACAATGTTTGACATATATACCTGCATGCTTGCTCTGCTAGGTAGAGATCACTGTGCTGTTGTTTTTTCATATATACCCCTGCATGTGAACTGGCCTTGTGGCCCTTTGCTTGTGCTCAGTGTGTGTGGTGACGTTGTGATCCACCCTGAGCTTGCTTTGCTTCTCTTGATTGGTCTTGTGACCCCTTGCTCTCCCCCACTTTGCCTATGGGGGTGTGTCAAAGTATATGCATGCTATATATGTGTAGGCTGTAGTGGGGTAGCCAATATGGGGTACAGCCCCTTTTAGGGTTTCATACTTGTACCCAACTCTTTGATAGTTCAATCATTCCTGCTGCTAGATTCTGACAGTACCGAAGGTGAGCGACGGCACGGAAAAGCCTCCCTTTTCGGTAAGTGGCAGTCTTGTTGTCTTTTGTTTTCTTCTCTGCTCTGTCATTTCGTACGGTTATGTCGTACGTGCTTACCATGCTGTGCAAGGAATAAAGTGCAAAGGTGAGTATGGAATGCGTGTTATCTTGATCGGTTTTAAGTGCTTTGTGTGCAGATCCGTATTCTCCTTCATAATATGGCGCTCTCACTATTGCGCTACCTATTAACCTTACTCTCGTATTTCGTTAACATGGCCCGTTCTAAACCTGCATATGGCCGTATTCTACCGCGGCGGATAGGTAAGTACTAGCTGCATTTTCTATAATGTTGCCATGCATCCGACTTTGGCTATGTTGCAGCAGTCCTAACATTCTCGACGTCTAGCTTCCGCTGTTTTAATCTCCTAAACTTATGGTATTGCAGGTACTGGCGCGTTGAGATGAATCACCCCATTGCCTTTCTAATTTCCCAACTGTGTCACTGTTTCAGCACTTACGATGTTGAAAGTTGCGATAAGCCAATTGTTACTGCAGTTCTGTTGCAACACCATATACTTAGGTACTGGATACATGTAAAGGAATTGGGTTAGTGCTTGAGTAGGGTCTGATGTACTAGAATATATATTTATAACAATCTATTAAGTGCACATGCTTAACTCATAAAACTGCACTGATTTTATTGCATGCGCCAATATGCCTCCCAAAATCTGATTGGTCCACGTGGCCTTTTCACGTCCACTGTTTACCTTGACAGCTGGCAGGAAATATCTTCATACGTGGCGTTCAGGCGTCCACGTGGCGAAGGGGTGCCAAAAGGGGACTTAAAGCCCAAGATCTTCAGACAAATGTCACTTCTGATGTCACCTGTTCGATGTGTTGCGTGTAGCGATATGGCCGCTTTTCCAAAGCTTTTTCGTCGCTTTTCCGCAACTTCTAAGTCACCCCGCCACAGAAGCCTTTGACCTAGACTTTTTTTCTCCGAAACCAAAGTTGCGGAAAAGCGAAGTCGCAGGTCCGCAACTTTTCGGGCCTCACACTTTCGCGATGATGCCGAGCTCGACGCTCGCACAGCCCATCGCGGAATCGCAAGGTAGTTGACTCTTGAACCTGTGCGGCTCAAATCGAATCGCGCGCGCGATGTCGCGTGGACCAGTCTGTGCCGCGTCCTGCGGCGCTTCCTGTCTGCCGTATCAAAGCGCTCGACACGCCCCTGGTCCTGCCGTCCACCGCACTGCACGCCTCGTCTGCAAGTGTCTTTACAAGGGCCGGTTTCACGCCGTGGGATGACCCTCACTTGTACTTAACACACCCTTCGCCTGGTGTGACCCTGATCATTGCGGTGATGCTTCGAGCAACTTGAAGTTAACTTGTGGACGCACGTCCGATGTGTGGGGCACTGGACCCTGTTTCCTGCACTGTTTTTTCGGACGCCTCAAGAATCGTCTCGACCCTGTTTTCTGCACTGAATGCCGCCAGTCTGATTGCGAGGCTCGTGCTGTTGGCTGTGCGGCAGGTGCTGTTCTGCAGGAGTTGCAAACGGCGTTGAAGGTCAACCATACAGGCTGGCAGGCGGGGAGCGACTGCAAGCAAGCGCAAGGCCTCACATGCGACTCAGACGGCATGATCACCTCCATGTGCGTCCGCGCCCGGATAAATTTGTGAAGCACTGTGTTGTGCCAAGCCATGCGTGCCGGCCGTGCCGTGTCCTGCTGTGCTCTGCTGTGCGCTGGCGTGCCGTGCTGTGCCGTATCATGTGGTGCTTTACTGTGCTGTGCAGTGCGGTGCAGTTCGGTGCTGAGCTGGTGGTTTCCTTGATTTTTATTTTTTCACTTCATTGGAAAAAATGACAATCTGGGATGTGAACGGTGGTTGCATGGGACAAGAAGAATTTGACACAATAGGAAAAACCTAGGGGACTCAATATGCCGCCCGTCTCGTCTCGGCCCTCCAACCCAACCATCCAACACCTCCTCGTATGCGCAGGAGTTTCGCAACACACCAGACAACGTTCCAGGTTGACAGCGTCACACGGCTCTCCCACTTGACAAAGCTGTAAGAATGTTCTTTATGAGTCCCTCTATCCTAGATCTCTGCCCGCTGTGCAGTTCATGTACCTTGATTTAACTCAGTAATCCATGGCTGCTTGCTTCTCCCCTTGCTAGTTTGCTTCTCCGCAGCAAGTGCATCTTCTGATCTTCTTGAATGCACCGATTCGACCACTTGCCTAGCCTAAGCCAACCACGATACGCAGTGCAATCATCGATGTCCCCATCTGCTACGTCTTTTTGATTGAGGTTGAAAGAGCAACTGTGTTCTAATCACGATGCAGGGAGATACAGGACCTTACGTACCCACCAGAAGGCACGCTCTACAACATCACTTGGCTCAAGTCTCTGTGAGTGGGACTCCCTCCTACGTTTTCACCAAGACCTTGTGTACCACGCGGCCATGATGACTTGGTGGAAACCTTTCTGCTTGCTCATGCTCCCCGCTTTGTTGCCCATGCTTCTTCATCTTCAGCTCGTTTTCTCCGACACATTCACACCCCTTCACTTTTTTGCCTTAGCGGGCTGCTCTGCTAGTAGCAGGTTGAGGTTTCAGCATGCCCATGGTCATGAAAACACATATTCCGATATTTGCTCCGCTCTGCTCTGCACACGTCTGACTTGACTCGTCTGCATGTGATCCGGCTCACCTGATGCGTGCGTGTGGTGTGGCGTGGGGGCGTGCAGGTCGTTGGCATGTTCCAGGAATGAGGCGTACAGCATCCCTGCTGAGATAGGCAACCTCACTCAGTTGACCCAGCTGTGAGAAGCAATCCGATGCGGCAGTGTGGCATGTGCGTGCGTGGATGCATGCATGCATCGAAGGATCATGATTAGGCGGGGCATGGCGTGGGGTGCATGATATGGCATGAATGGCATGATATGGCATGGTATGGCGCGGTATGGCATGGTATAGCATGGCACGGCATGTCATGTCGAGTTGTGTTTGGTTTCTGGCGTGTTATATCTTTACATCGGCATGCCATCTCTGAGATTTACTTAACCTGTTTAAATCATTATTTTCTTTGTCTTCCATGGTCAACAGGAGAATACCAAACTGTCCCTTTGGGGATGAGATTGCCACAGTGAGTCAGCTCACCACCCTTGTGGATCTGTAAGCTCAACACCCACTCTCCACACCTATTCTCCACAACCATTCTCCACACCTATTCCCGACACCCATATCCCGCACCTGTTCCGCACACCCGTTCCCCGCACCTGTTTCTCACACCCATTTTCCATTCAAGTTGATCTGAAATAACTGCACATTCCTTCTCATTGTTTTCAACACACATTCTAACTTCCCTTCTCTTCATTCCTTCTTGATCCACCTTTTGTACAGGGAGCTTCTGGCAAACAGAATCCATGCGATGTGGACCCTTACACAGAACAGCTTCCCTACACTCATGAACCTGTGAGGCACGGCATGGGTATGGGTATGGCATCTCATTATTGCATGTCATCACATCTCGTCACAGCTGTTTTCAGAATGCGCAGCATGCAGGACATGCATATTCGTTTTGGAGATTGCGTAGCAAGAAGCAGGGGCATACAGAAGATGTGCCGCTTTTTCGCCACAATTACACTGTCTCCACTGCCTCTGCCCACTCACCCATTATACCATGCGTGCATCGCATGGGTATGCATCACGGCCTGTGTTGTGCCTCCCACGTGTTACAGGGATCTGCGGTCCAACTTAATCTCACTAAACACCATCGCTTACTTGCAAAACCTGACAGCCCTCACATCTCTGTAAGTATGCATCAGTATGCATCCGTACCGCATCCGTACCGCATCCGAACCGCATCCGTACCGCATGCGCCACCATGCAGGGTAGAAACATCTCAGTAAGCATGGTGCCGCATTAAGCTCGCACGATCGACACATCTGGAATATGCATGGAAGGACGGCAATTCGTTTCCCTTGCGTAGATGGTAGCAGCATGTATTTTCATCATGCAGCCAGGCATGCTTCAAGGTAGCTATCTTATGATGATTCCATCCCGTGCATCTGCTGCCCACCATGCGCATCGAGTCATCATCGACACATCACTAGAAACAGCTCTCACTGGCCTCAACTTCACGCTGCCTTGCTGGCCTTCTGCTGTGCCTTAACACCCGCTGTTTGTGCATGGATCGTGGGGCTGCCTGCTGCACGTGTGGACACTGCTGTTGCACGTATATGGGGGGATGGCGTGGCATGTCATTGACTGCAGGGATTTATCATCGAATCAGCTGAGTGGTGATGGCCTAGCACAGGGGAATCTGAGCCTGCCCAACTTACAGTACCTGTACGTCCTTCTGTGGAACCCTTGAACTAGCTAGCTACTGCTGTGTTTCACCCATGCCCACTGCACGCACCATGCCCACTGCACGCACCATGCCCACTGCACGCACCATGCCCACTGCACGCACCATGCCCGTTGAATGCACACGGCAATGCCTTAATAATGAGCATCCAGTGCGCCATCTTCCCCTGCATGTGCCCTCCCCTCAAGCCTCTCCTGCTGCTCGATCCCTCAGAACTAGGCCTCCCCATGCCTCCCTCCCATGCCTCCCTCCCATGCCTCCCTCACGTGCCATGCATGTGCCATCAGGAACCTCTCCAACAACCAACTGACCGGAGGCATTCCTGATTCATTTCCAACCATGACGTCCTTGGTCAGCCTGTGAGTATCCTGAAAGCTGAATCCGACCACTGCCCACTGCCCGCTGCCTGCTGCCCACTGCCAACCACGTTGCTGCCATTGCTCCCATTGCGTCCATGGGCACGAGATGCCTCAGCGCCCCAGTTTCTCTAGTTTGGGACATCTGGGCATGTTGCTGTTGTTGTGCGTCATTTCAAATTCCTTTCTACGGATCCTCAGTGCACCAGTCCTTCTCCACATCTCAATAGCGTCGCCGAGTTAACGCGGCTCACTTGCGCCGTTTCCTCCTCTCTTGAGTGTTTTTTGAGAATTCTCAAAAAACAGTCGCCGAGTTAACACTGAGCGGCTCACTTGCGCCGTTTCCCCCTCTCTCGTGCTCCTGCACTCTCGTCTGCACTGCTTGCATTCACATTCTTGTCCTTCCCCTTCTTACCTTCTTACCTTGTTACTTTCTCACCTCCTCACCTGCTGAGTATCACATACCTCTCGGTGTCACACGCATTGCGCCACAGGAACTTGAGCTTTAACTATATGGAAGGGACGATCCCACCATCGCTTGGACGCTGTAATAGCCTTGCAACGCTGTGAGTGCTGGCAATGCAATAGGTGCTGTGCTTCTGTATATGCAGGCACCATCACTGAACACAGTTCGGCGTGTGTGTGCAATCCAAGCCTCGTCTGGAAAACTGACTGTCGCTATCTGAAATTTCTTAAGAACAACCAGATGTCCTTGCTGAGTGCTGACTTTCACCTCCTTGCGCCTTGCCCTTGCATCTTTTTCCTTTCTATCATCCCTTGCACCCTGTCTTTGCACCCTTCGGGCCTTCCCCTCTCTCCTTTCCCTTGCTCAAACCCCATGCAGAGCCACCAACGGCACGAGTCTCACATGCCCTGACAGCTACACCAGCTGCGGTGTGCCTCAGAATGCGTCCTCTGCCTTCTGCCACACCTGCCCTGACTTCTGTGCCACATGTGAGCTCCGATCCTGAGAGGAAGGCAGGAAAGAGCGGTATGGGCTCCACTCCATTCCTTTGTGCATTTGCCGCATGCTGCATCATTGCATCTTTGTGGCTTGTCCCTCCTTTACCACGGGCTGCGCCGCACCTTGTGTTCTTTAGAAGAGTTTATTGCCAACAACTTTTGATTTCGGCAGACCGAAACAAAAGCTTTTCGCTTTCCCACCTGGCTGGTGCAAGCGCCACATTACCTGATCCAACTCGTTTGATTGAACCTTCCGTTTACTTCTCAGGTGGCAAATCCAAACCGACAGCAATGGCGGCAGCTGACACACCAAAATCAGGCTTGTCTACAGCCGCTATTGTTGCCATAATTACTGCTGTTGCTGCTGCTCTGGCCGTCGCTGTCCTGCTTTTCTTCTACTGCTGGTTCAATTCGAGGCGACCGAAAGGTGCGTGCCACAGCCTGCGCTTCTTCCCAACCCATACTGCCTCTCACTCACACTGCCTGCCCTGAACGGGCGTTGCAAGGCACGGTGCCTGCTCCTATCCTACTCAGGGTTTCGGACTGCTGGTGCTGCCGTGCCGGCATGCAGTTTGATACCCACAACCTTTTTTCTTTATTATTAGACAAATACCCTTTTCAGCAAGTTCTCTGCTACGTCCTATCACCTTCCTCTGCCCTCCTGTCCCCCTCACTTGCCCCTTCTTCCTCCTCCTTTGCTCCCTACAGCGCTGGTGAGCAGCAAGGCGGCATCGCAGGTGTGTCAGGAATATTCCCTTAATGCGGTGGCGAAGGCAACCAACGGATGGTCCGAGGCCAACCTGCTGGGCGCGGGGGCCTTTGGCGATGTGTATCGCGGCGTCTCACCCACCGATGGTGCCACTCAGTGGGCCGTGAAGCGAGCTAAGATTGTCACCACAGACTTTGATAAAGAGGTGTGCCACCGTGACCATGTGGTGCGATGCGATGCGATGCGATGGGGTGGAATGTGATGTGATGTGATGGGGTGTGATGTGGTGTAGTGTGGTGTGGTGTGATGTGCGCTGGCGCAGTACTGTAGAATGTAGAGGCGTTACATGGCCATGGCCCGTTCGAGCGTGCTGTATTCGCTAGGGGGTGTGCCAGGTGTCTGTTCTTTCTTCACACCCTCTCTTAGATCGTGCCTTGCTTCACCATAATTCCTGCTACGTTTGTCTGGCATATTACCACACCATTTTGGTAGGCAGCAGCAAAGAATAATTAAACTGTTTTGAGATGGCCGCAAAGCAGTTTCAGATGAGTAGTTGAGCTGTGTCCTAATGGACCCACCGTCATCGCTGGCAGGTGTGTGAGATGGCCGCAAAGCAGTGTCAGATAAATCATTAAAACATCGTTTTTATTGGCCCCACATTTTGGCCTGGCAGGTGTGTGAGATGGCAACGAAGCACCACCCGAACCTGGTGCGACTGCTGGGCTTCTCAATCGGCATCACTGACAAGACAAGGGTCGAGCAAATCCTCATCTACGAGCTCATGCCCAACGGGGACCTCTCGCACTGGATCGGGAAAGGTGTGCATTCTAGACTTGTGCTTTGCAGTATGCCTGCACATAGTTGCCCATCCAGTGGGATGTCTGATTTCCATTTCCAGATAACGTGCAACTAATTGACTTACGCCTCATGCCGGCCTCCTTGCCTAAGTCTCCCATGCACCCCCCTCTCCACCCCTCCGTTCCCGTCCTCTCTGCCCGTCCTTCCTATGCGCTGGCCCCTGCAGAGGCAGGGACCCCGCTGAGCTTTGAGCATCGGGTGGGCGTGCTGGTGGGGGCGGCACGCGGCTTTGAGTATCTCCACAGCTTCGGCATCGTGCACCGCGACATCAAGCCCGCCAACATCCTGCTCGACCAAAACATGCAGGCAAGCAAGGCTGCACTTTAATAATGATTGATGCAGCCCACCTTGTGCCACATTCTCTCTTATAAACAGCCAAGCTCACATGGGCCCCTGTGTGCAAGTTAAGATATCAGATTGCAATAGACCTGACTATTCACCCTTTCGTATTCATACCCGTTGCCTTCCATGTATTAGCACAGGCTAAGATTTCAGACTTTGGGCTTGTGAGGAAGGGAGAGGGCACAGCAGTGCAGAGTACGCGAGTGGTGGGAACACCGGGCTATGTGGACCCCTCCTACTCCGCATCCAACAGGGCCACCACCGCCACTGATGTCTACAGGTGAGCCATGACCCTTTGATTTTTCCAGCTAGATTGCTGTCTGCTGTTAGGCGCCTCTCATGCTTCCCTCTCCTCTCCTCTCCTCTCCTCTCCTCTCCTCTCCTCTCCTTTCCTTTCCTTTCCTATCCTCTCCTCTCCTCTCCTCTCCTCTCCTATCCTCTCCTCTCCTCTCCTCTCCTCTCCTCTCCTCTCCTATCCTCTCCTATCCTCTCCTCTCCTCTCCTCTCCTCTCCTCTGCACGGGTTGTCGTGGTGTGCAGCTTCGGCATTCTCATGCTTGAGCTCATGACGGGCCGTCACGTCATCACCAATTCTCTCGTCGTTCTCTCCGATGAGGAGGCGGGTCAGCAACTGCACATTCTTGCCTGGGTACGTCGGTAGAGAGGGTGCCTGCCGCCGTAGCCGTGTCTCCACTCTTCATCTCTTCTCATGCATTCAAAGCCCCCTATTATTCTCCATCTTCCGTGTCCCAGCCTGAGACCTTCGTTTCTTTCTTTCTGCTCCAGGTCCAGCAGCAGCTGGCTCAATTTGGCGGCAGCGAGGCGCTGGCAAGGCTAAAGGACGCGCGCATGAAGGTGCGGGATGAGTTGGTGTTGACGGTGGTGCAGCTGGCTTTGCGATGCACGTCTAAGCAGAGCGCCATGCGGCCGGCCATGGGGGTGATTGCAGCCGAGCTGGAGGCCGTGCTGGTGGCGCTGGGCCGTAGCAACTCCGCCGCCCGTCAGGTGGACCTGCAATTGGAATCGCAGAGGATGTCAGTCTCGAATCTGGATGCAGAGATTGCGCGACTGAATTTGTTGCTTAAGGGGAGCTGATAGTGTGTAGATCCCTATATGTATGCTTATGAATCTAGGTGTTGACCAAGCATGATAGCTCAAGCATTACGTACTGATTTTCCAAATGCCGAAAAAAGAAAGAAAGAAAGAAAGAAAAGATCAACAACACAAGTACAACTATCTCTGTTCAGCTACGGTAGTATGGTGCAATTCTTTTTGGGTTGCGGAGCATGTCAAATTATATATGTGTTACATATGTGTAGGCGGTAGTGGGGTAGCCAATATGGGGTATAGCCCCTTTAGGGTTTCATACTTGTACCAAACTTTGACCTAGTTCATTCATTCCTGCTAGTTGTTTCTGACATGGTATTCAGAGCAGTAGGTCCGTAGGACCGATTTGTTTAGGGCCCACCTACCGTTGCGGTTAATGAGCTACCCCACGTCTGCGCTGCGCCGCCCGCGCGCGCCCTGCCTTGCCTTGCCTGCGCTGCCCGCGCGCGCCTCTGCCTTGCCTGCGCTGCGCTGCTTGCGCGCGCTGCCCTAGTTCCGCGCGCGCCGCTTCAGCAGCTTGCGCGCCCTGCCCTGCCCTTCCCTGCAGCTCGCGCGTCGCCCGCATGCTGCCCGCGCGTCGCCCGCTAGCAGCCCGCTCGGCCCGCGCTCTGCCTCTGCCAGCGCGTCGCCCGCCTGCAGCTCGCGCGTCGCCCGCTTCCTGCCCGCGCGTCGCCCGCTAGCAGCCCGCGCGACCCGCGCTTTGCCTCTGCGTGCCCGCGCGCTGCTCCTGCAGGCCCGTCAGGCCCCCGCGCCGCCCTCGCCGCCCGTGCGCAGCCGTCGCCTGCTCGCTCGCGGCCCCTGCTGGCCAGCGCGCCGCCTTCGCCGCCCGTTCGCGGCCTCTGCCCGCCCGCGCGCTGCTCCTTACCCGCGCGCGCGCTGCCCTTCACCCGCGCGCTGCCCCTTACCCGCGCGCTACCCCTTACCTGCGCGCGCCCTGCCTCTGCCGGCCAGCGCACCGCCCACCTGTAGCCCGCGCCCTGCCTTTGCTGATCCGCGTGCCACCACTGCAGCCCTGCGCGCAGCTTCTCCTGGCCTGCTCTCTGCCCTGCAGTCCGTGCTCTGCTTTGCCGCCTACCCGCTACTCTCACCAGCGCTGCACTCATGGCGACTCTCAATGTCCTCGCTTTCGATCCTGACGGTCGCCCGATAGAGTTTGCCACTTGGCTCGACGATCTGCAACTGTTTCTTATGACTGATGCCAAAGACGGAGTTTCACTGTTCGATCACGCGTCTGGCACTTCCGTTGCTCCTGCTGACACTGCTACCGCTCTTGACCGCTCACAGTGGCAGACTCGTGATGCTGCTGCGCGCCTCGCTATTCGCAACCATCTGCCGATCACTGAGCGCGCGCACTTTAGTCAGCACAAGACTGCTAAGGCACTGTATGAGGCTGTAGTTGCCCGCTACTCTTCCCCAGCCACTGCAGCCCTAGGTCGTCTTATGCTACCCTACCTGTTCCCCGACCAGTCCTCGTTTACCACCGCTGAGGACCTCATCTCTCACCTGGGCGCTTGTGACGCTCGCTTTCGTGCCGCCCTTTCAGACGAGTTCCTCACCGAGAATCACCCCCCGATGTACTTTACTCTCTACTTCCTCGTCACCCGCCTCCCTGACACTCTTCGCTCAGTCAGGGACCACTTTCTAGCCCTAGACCCTACCACCATCACTGTCGCTGACTTCGAGAAGCACCTCCTAGCAGCCGAAAAGAACATTCTCGCTGTAGGTGCTGCTCGTGGCACTCCTCGCACTCCCCTCTTTGAGGGGTGCTCCCCCTCCCCTCTTGCCCCCTCCTACGCCTCTGCTGCTGCTGCTCTCGACTACCTTGGTGCTGAGGAGGTCGGGGCTGCTTCCGCTCCTAGTGGGAAGCGCCGCAGCGCCAGGGGCAACAGGGGTGGCAGGGGAGGTGGAGGTGGTGGTGGAGGGGGCGGTGGTGGAGGCGGCGGGGGAGGTGGAGGTGGTGGTGGGGGTGGCGGTGGTACTGGGAGCGGTGGAGGAGGCAGCGGCGGTAGTGGGGGAGGAGGGAGCGGTAGTGGCAGCTGTGGTGGGGGCTGGAGTGGAACCGGCCAGAAGGGGAGCTCCAATGGTGGCCAGGGACAGCAGCAGCAGCAGCAGCAGCAGCCGCAGCAGCAGCAGCAGCGTCAGCAGCAGACCCTCTCCCCTCAGCAGCTTCATGACTGGTATGCTCAGCGTGGGGCGTCTGGGGGTCCTATTCGCTGCCCGCATATCATTCGCACATGCCCCCGCACTGGTCGGCCATGCGGCGGGTATCACACTGAACACCGCTGCTTCTCTCGGCTTAGCGACTCCTGGCGCGCCAAGTTTCCTGAGGCTACTGAGTTCCCCCCTTGGGCAGACCTGCTTAGGCGTGGTGTTCCAACTTTGATCTTGACTATGATGTAATTCTTGCTGCCATGTATGCATTGACTGTTAGTGCTGAGGGTGACTGCTACTTGTGTATGCCGCCTGACCCAGGTATCGAGTCTGCAGCCCTAGGTGCTAGTGAGTCTGTTCTCCCTGGTACTGCGAGCACTCAGGCCTTGCACACCTTTACACTTGACTCTGGTGCTTCCCGCTGTTTCTTTCGCGACAGTACCACAGTCACTCCCCTCCCTGCACCTGTCCCTGTCTCACTGGCTGACCCCACGGTCCGCTATTGTGCTTTCGTGTCCGGCGGTCCCGTTTGGTGAGCTGTCTGGTCTCCACCTCCCCTCGTTCTCTACGAACCTGGTGAGCAACGCCGTCCTTCAGGATCATTGGGTTGACACCTTTACTCCTGGAGGACATCGTGTGGCGATCTGCACGTGCTCTCGGACTGGCCGCCACCTGGCCACGTTCACACGTGCGCCTGGGTCCAGTCTGTACACCCTCACCACTGCGTCGCGCTACGCACCTTTGTCTCCTCAGTTGTACACGTCCGCTCAGGTAGCTACCCAGTGTGAGTGTCGCCGCCTGTCGCACCAGACTCTCCTTTGGCACCACCACCTTGGTCACCCCTCCTTGCCTCGCCTTCGTGGCATGCACTCTCGCTCCCTAGTCTCTAGTCTTCCGAGGTCTCTGCCCTCCCTCCCTCCCTCGCCTGCGCCGCCCTACATTCCTTGCGTCGAGGGGCGGCAGCGCGCCGCTCCTCACTCCTCCTCGTTCCCTCCCACAGAGGCTCCACTGCAGACTCTCCACCTGGACGTGTGGGGCCCAGCCCGCGTCCGTGGACAGGGCCACGAGCGGTACGACTACACACGTTACACCACGGTCTTCCCCTTACAATGCAAGGGGGAGGTTCCTGATGTTTTGATCCCTTGGATCCGCGCTGTTCGTCTCCAGCTCCGCGAGCGGTTCCACTCGGACTTTCCTGTCCTGCGTCTGCACTCTGACAGAGGTGAGCTCAACCTCTGGCCCAGTGTCTCCGTTCCGGAGACTTCGCCCACACTACGTTGGACGAGGGAGGTTGGCGATGCGTCGCGGTTCCGGGTCTGGGGTGCTCGTGCCTTTGTCCGCGATACCAGTAGACAAGCTCTCCCCTCGCGCCATTCCCTGCGTCTTCCTTGGTTTTCCCCCTGACGCGCCTGGCTGGCAGTTTTACGACCCCGCCTCGCGCCGTGTCTTTGCGTCTCAAGACGTCACCTTTGACGAGTCGGTCCCCTTTTACCGTCTTTTTCCCTATCGCACTGCCCCTCTCCCCCCCCCGCCGCTCTTTCTCGCTCCAGGTCCTCCCCAGGTAGACCCCCTCCCCGCACCAGGTCCTGCTCCTTCAGGTGTGTCTCAGGTAGACCCTCCCCCCTTGACTGCGCCGGTTGAGGTCACTGGTGACTCAGGTCCTGCTGGGGGTGGTCCTGCTCGGGGTGCTGCTTCTGGGGGTGCTGAGCCTGGAGGTGCGGAGCCTGGGGGTGCTGAGCCTGCGGGTGCGGAGCCTGGAGGTGCTGAGTCTGAGCGTGAGGAGCCTGGGGGTGCTGATCCTGAGGGTGCGGAGTCTGGCAGTGCTGAGCCTGGGCGTGAGGAGTCTGGAGGTGCTGAGCCTGGACGTGAGGAGTCTGGGGGTGCTGAGCCTGGGGGTACTGCGTCTGGGGGTGCTGCGCCGGGGGGCACTGAGGCGTCTGGTGAGCAGTCTCCTTGGAGTGGCCGTCTCCGTAGTCACTCCGCTGGTGCCTCGCCGCAGCACTCTCGTCGGCGTCTCCCTCTCTCCCCACAGCAGCTGCGTGAGTGGTACGTCAGCCGTCAGGGTCGCGCTGCTGGAGCTGGGGGCCCTGCAGCGGGAGGCGCTGGCGTTGGGGGCACTGGAGCTAGTGACTCTGCTACTGGAGGTGTTTCTACTGGAGTTCCTGGACCCGCTGGTCCTGGAGGTGCTCGTACTGGAGGTATTGGAGCTGCTGGGGCTGGAGCTACTGCTGGACCTGGAGGTGCTGCTGTCGACCCTGAGGTTGGAGACCCTGGAGCTGGAGGTGCCAGTTCTGGGGGTGCTGCTGTTGGAGACACTGAGGCTGGAGACCCTGGGACTAGAGGTGCCGGTTCTGGGGGTGCTGCTGCTGGTGGTGCTGGTACTGGAGGTGCTGGCGCTGGAGATTCTGGGGCTGTTGGAGGTGCTGGCGCTGGTGGCGCTCGAGCTGGAGGTTCTGGAGCTGCTGGAGGTGCTAGTACTGGAGGTGCTGGCGCTGGAGGCTTTGGAGCTGCTGGGGGTGCTGACGCTGGAGGCTCTGGAGCTGCAGGAGGTGCTGGAGCTACTGGTGCTGGTGGCACTGCTCAGCCGCGACTGTTCTTCGCTCCACCGTCACCTTCGTCTCTACCGCCGCCTGATTCCGTGCTGCGCCAGGTTCTTAGCCTCCCGTCTTCTACTGGTCTTCCGTTACAGCCTGGCTCTCCACTGCCTGCTCCTTCTCCTTACGCTGAGCAGACAGGAGGTCTTGCTGAGCGTCGTGAGCCTGCGTCTCGTCCTGTCTCGCCTGTTCGCACTGTCCGCACTGGTCGTACTGGTCGTCGTGTTCCTCGCGAGCGTCCGC